TTCGGGTGCTGCTGCACGTTGCCGCTCAGCGTGACTACGAGCTTCACTCTCTTGACTTCAGCACAGCTTTCTTACAGGGCAGCCTGCACGAGGAGATCTGGCTGCACCGCCCGCCTGGATTCACTGGGTCGTTCCCTTCTGGTACTCAGTGGAGCCTCCGGCGGCAGGTCTACGGTCTCCGCCAGGCGCCACGTGAGTGGCACGACACACTGAGGACGACACTTGCGGCTCTTGGGTTTGCTCCGTCGACTGCTGACTCGTCGCTGTTTCTGCGCACCAACACATCGCTGCCGCCGTTCTACATCCTCGTGTACGTCGACGACTTGATCTTTGCCACTGCTGACACTGAGGCTCTCGCCCTGGTGAAGTCGGAGCTGCAGAAGAGACACACGTGCGCAGACCTGGGTGAGCTGCGCAGTTACCTTGGCTTGCAGATCACCCGGGACAGAGCACGCCGCACCATCACACTGACTCAGTCACACATGGTGCAGCAGGTCCTTCAGCGCTTCGGCTTCACCTGGTCCTCGGCACAGGCCACTCCTCTGGCTACAGGTCACTCGCTCTCAGCTCCACCTTCGGACGAGTCCGTAGAGCCGAGTGGTCCTTACCCAGAGCTAGTGGGCTGCCTCATGTACCTGATGACCTGCACTCGTCCTGACTTTGCGTACCCTCTTGGCCTTCTGGCTCGCTACGTGGCTCCTGGTTGGCACCGAAAGGTGCACATGGATGCTGCTAAGAGGTACTACGCTACTTGTGCAGTACATCGGGCATGGGGCTCGTGCTTGGAGGACGGAGCGACGTTGTCCTCACTGGGCACTCAGACGCTTCTTGGGTTGACGACCAGGCTACGCAGCGGTCGTCTCAGGGTTACACCTTCAGCCTTGGCTCTGGTTCAGTTTCTTGGCGTTCTACACGCTCGTCTTCAGTTCTCAGCTCCAGTTGTGAGGCTGAGATCTACGCCACAGCCATGGCTGCACAGGAGTTACGCTGGCTCACCTACCTGCTGACCGACCTGGGAGAGCGGCCTCGTTCTCCTCCAGTGCTGTACGTTGACAACAAGGCCGCCATTGCCTTGTGTCAGGAGCACAGACTGGAGCACAGAACGAAGCACATCGCTCTGCGTTACTTCCTGGCTCGAGAGTTGCAGCAGCGTGGTCAGCTTCGTCTTGCTCACGTGGCCACTCGGGCCAACACTGCTGATATATTCACCAAGGCACTTCCGTCTGGTGATCATCAGCGTTTCTGCACTTTGTTAGGCCTTGTGCCCTTTCCTCACTTACTGTAGACTTTGCTTGTACTGTGATCTACATATATATACCTGCATGCTTACTCTTGCTAGGTAGTGATCACTGTACTGTTGTTGTTGCATATATACCTCTGCATGTGAACTGGCCTTGTGGCCCTCTGCTTGTGCTCGGTATGTGTGGTGACGTTGTGATCCACCCCGAGCTTGCTTTGCTTTTCTTGACAGGCCTTGTGACCCCTTGTTCTCCCCCACTTTGCCTATGGGGGTGTGTCAAACTATATGCCTATGTCATAATAAAATGTAGGCTTTAGTGGGGTAGCTAATGTAGGGTATAGGTTTTGTTACTTGTACCCAACTTTCTCGATAGTGCAACAACCTTTCCCTTTACTCTCGACAGATGTCGTGTACGGACTCTGTCAGTAGAAGGAGATTTGAATCTCGACAGAAGTGACTATTACAATGCGGTACAAGGGTTTATGTAGGAATACAGTGGAATACGAAAGGTCCTAGCTAGCCATGTACTCTGAGGGGGTACATTCCCCTTAGGGCTAATCTAGATGCAGCATCGCAACCGTGCGGTTCGGTAACCGTACGCGGTCCGGTAACCGTTTAAACATTTCCCGCGCTTTGCACTTCAAATTCTTCATGCTTGTAACTGTCTCGATAACTGTCTCGTCGCTTGGTCTTTCGTCCTCGCTGCAGTCATCTTCGCGTCAAGGATTTGTTACTCAGGAATGTTTATTCAACTATTCCATATCGTAACACATATGTCTGGGAGTAATATATTTTTTAGGGATATTATCTAGTTGTATGAGTGTTATTGCAGAAAAAAAATGGACAATTACGAAAAGTCTTGTTGAATTTCACTCGAATTGGTTCCTATCAAAACTTAGATAAGCCTCAATACACAATATAGTTTGATGAATGAATTTGTGTTAATAGCACGAAATGTTTACTCCTTGCGCATATCAGACTAGACGGTACCAAAGTAATACTGTCAGGGTAGTACGGTACCATGTCTAATATGTATTGACCCTGTGAAAAAAGTAATATGACAATATTACCTTTTTCACAGGGTCAATACATATTAGACATGGTACCGTACTACCCTGACATTATATAAATATAAATATATATGACATCCAGAATTCACTAGTGCAAATACAAGACACAGCAAGGGAGCAAAACAACCAGGAGTACCGAGTGACTGCATCGAATGTATTCCACATTCAAATTTCTCTCTCGCCGCCTTATCGCCAACCTCATGGGATGTGGTTGCTCGAAGATTTTCGTAAAGGATGCTGTCCGTGGATATTGGAATGCTTACCGATGCGCACCCACTGTGCATCAATCAATCTGACATGAAATTGTGTCAGGGGCACAGTTGGGTTGAGTTTGGGTGAATCCCGGATAATATGCAAAACAGTGCGAAAAAAACAAATGTCCTCTTTGTGATGCCGACGGTCGCCAAAAGGAGTCTACACTCCATATTGACTGTGTGTGATGATAGAAAGAAAACTCACAGCGATGGTCCAAAATATATACTGTACGGCCGATCCTTTTCCTTCGCTCCTGCTGCAGAAGTCTCCCGCGCGGAACATTCAAAAACTGCGCTTCGTGCGGCTGCTCTGGACTCCATCCCGGTGGCGAAAGTCGTCTGATCCCGGTAGGCTCGAGTTACGCTTGTGTCATTTGCTCGCGAAAGCTTTGCGGCGACCAGGGTGGCGGGCGGAGACCAGCGGAAGCCTCTGTTTTGGCGACTCCCTCTCGCCTGTCGTCGCCTCCCTCCAGCCAGTGCATGCAGCCTCTCCGAAACCAAGTCAACCATGCGAGCGACATTCCCAAGGCCATCCCATCCCAGTCACCTCTGCCAAGTTCCAGTCGCTTGATTCATTTCACTGATTTTCTCTAGTCAGCGTTAGCTCTGCTTATTTCCATGGCTCTCTCAGCTCGCCATGGCTGCTGTCGAAATCCCTCAGAGGTGTAGCTTATTACGATTAGATCATATTCTTCAGAAGATTTATGAGAGTAATAGCTCTCGATAAGTTTGTCCCAGTGAGAACTGGTCGTCAGTCGTGTCAGCATATAGCGTCTGATAGGCTGAACGTTAACTGCTTGCCTCTTGGCTCATAACCGCGGTTCTTATGGTTCGTAACCTCCTAGGAACTCCACCGTTTTAGTTTTCTCGAACGTTACTAACCTTCAATTCCAGCATCTAGATTCTGATAAACTGGATTATTAACCGATATTTTTCAGCTCATCAACATGATCCCTGACGAGTCTTTCCTGATAAGGTTTCCACCGCTCTAGTTGAAGTCTATGTCGCCTCCGTTCCATCGTAAGCGTCGTTCCGGAATAACATCAAATTACTCGCCGATGGCTGCTATGGTCGCCGATAGCCGAGCGTTGAGTCAAGCCACCTGAACCTTGCGTTATACATGAAGCAGCGCCGTCGGCGATCTATGCTTACTACAATAAGCGGTATCAGGATTGACATACGAGCCGCTTCTGCTAGCATCTTCAGGCATCACCAGAAGCACTTCAGCCTTTTGACATCATTTGCCAACAGGGTCGACGGTTTTCACGTCAGAACGGCGCCATAATGGTCTACGCCGAGTATCGTCGTCAGCAACAAGAGAATCACTTGGAGGCGACGGAAGCAGATGTTTGCGATAGTTCGTTTTTACTGATGTCGGACTTGTTGGCGGAACACGAATCTCTGCAATGATAGCATCTGCTCATCTCTAAAGCTAGCTGTGCCTGCATATAGCGATATACTGACAAGGGATTCACGGCGCTCTTCGAGAATGGTTCGACCAGCGAATTTCAAGTATCACGGAGACCGGCATCCGGCGACACAGTGACTCACGACGTGACAGAGACGGAAACTAGTGGGTTGATACTCGGCGGAGTCCGAGCAACGGGGTGCAACGCCGTCGTCGGTGTTGAACTGACGTGAGCGGTGAAAGACGAGCGAACGAGCAATGATAGCGGCGATTGGCGACACGGCGAGCAGCGAATGGCGAACGGCTAGCGACGAACAGTAAGTGGCTGGCAGCGTGCGGCGATCGTCTAGTAGCGGCAAATGGCGGATTTTGAACCACGAGCAACCATGCGGATGATGGCGACCAACCGCGAACGACGTTCAGCATACGACGTTCGGCATGCGACGTTCCGCATGCGACGTTCCGCATGCGACATTCCGCGTGCGACGTTCTGCGTGCGACGTTTTGCGGATTTGATGGCGATATACTGCATGCGGCAATGTCCTGATGATGGCGACTTCCGCATGCGACCGTGTCCGGAGACGGTGACCAACTGCGTGCGACCTTCCGTGTGCGACGTTGTGCGGATGTTGGCGACATACTGCATGCGACGATGTGCGGAAGATGGCGACGAGCCGCGTGCGACGTTCCCTGTGCGACGATGTGCGGACAATGACGACTTACCGCGATTGACCGTGTGCTGAAGACGGTGGCCAACCGCGTGCGACGGTGTGCGGAAGATGGCGACTTTAACGAATGCGACGTTCCGCATGCGGCGCTGTGCAGATGTTGGCGACATGGCGCATGCGACGATGTGCGACAGACGGCAGGCGACGAACCGCGAGCGAGGTGGCGATTTACCGCGTGCGACGCGTGCCGGCGTCGTGCGGATTCTGGCAACATGGCCCATGCGACGAACCCTGTGCGACGTTTCCCGTGCGACGGTGTGCGGATGATGGCGATTTTCGACGCGCGACAATGTACGGAAGATGGCGACCACCTGCGTGCGACCTTCCGCGCGCGACGGTGTGCGGAGGCTGGCGACTTACCGCGTGCGACGGTGTGCGGATGCTGGCGACTTTCCGCGTGCGGCGGCGTGCAACGTGCAACGTCCGTGTGCGGAAGCTGGCGTGCGTCCGTTTGCGGAAGCTGGCGTGCGTCCGTGTGCGAGGGTGCGCGATGATGTGCGAATGATCAGCTTCAACACTCTGGTGAGCTAAGTCTCCTCTCCGCTCTCCCCTCTTCAATCCTCCCTCACTGTCCCCATCTGTCGTTTTTACTGCTGGTGTGGCATCCCACCCCTCCCCACCCATTCACACTCTTCTCTCTTGATCGCCGCGAGTTGCTTTCTTGATTTCGCCCGCTCTTGCTCACTGCCGTGCTCTTTGCCCTCTTGCTCTCTGCCACTTGTTCTTGCTCTCACTGCCACTCTGTCTCTGCCTGGTTGCTCCTCGTGCAGAGCCTGCAGTGGGCCCTGCAGACCACTTCTCGCCTCTCAGGGAGCAGGGGACCGCACGCAAGAGCAAGGAAGGGGAGCGCGCAAGGGGGAGCGCGCAAGGGGGAGCGCGCAAGGGGGAGCGCGCAAGGGGAGCAAGGAGGCAAGGGGAGCGCACGCAAGAGCAAGGAGGCAAGGGGAGCACTCACAAGAGGAGCACGCCTGCATGCTCCTTCGACCCTCTTCGATCCGGCTAAGCTGTCTCACTGAATTCGCACTGTGCACGCACCACTCACTCGCTCGCACTCGTGCCTTCCACTGCTTGCTTGCGCTCGCTCCCTCCTCCTCCTCTCGCCGCTCTCACGGGCGGCACCAAGGGACCCTCCCCAGGTGTGTGACAGCAGGCGACTGCCAGCGTAAGTGGTAACGTCAGGTGTAGTAAGGTACGGTACTGTCCTTGGTGCCCGCCCTGCAGCTGCCACCGCCGCCGCCGCTGCCACCGCCACTCACGCCACTCACGCACTCTCACTGCTTGCGTCCTTCCATTATTCCTTGCTTGCATGCTTTCCGTTTTTCTGTTGTCTGACTTGCTAACGCCATGCTAATTGCCTTCCCTCTCACCTTCCTTCTCTGCTCCGTGCACTTGTTCCCCTCTTCGCCTCTCCTCCTGCCAGCTTCCCTCTGCCTACACCCCTCTGCCAGCACACCTACAGGCCGGCAGCAGCAGAAGGCATGGAGGAGCAGTGGGAGCAGCGTGGCGAGCGGGAGAGGCGAGTGGTGGGATGACGCACGGCCTGGGCTGGCCCTGCTGACCACTGCGCTCGCCCAACCTCCCGGCAGCACCAGCGCGACCGACCGTGGCGTCTCTGAGTGGCGCTGCGGCAGCAGGGGGAGTGTGGCGGCAAGGAGAGGCGCATGGCCGTGTGGGTGCTGCACGCAAGCAAGGGGAGCACGCCTGCATGCTCCTTCGACCCTCTTCAATCCGGCTAAGCTATCTCACCGAATTCGCACTGTGCACGCACCACTCACTCACTCGCTCGTGCTCGTGCCATCCTCTGCTTGCTTGCGCTCGCTCCCTCCTCCTCCTCTCGCCGCTCTCACGGGCGGCACCAAGGGACCCTCCCCAGGTGTGTGACAGCAGGCGACTGCCAGCGTAAGTGGTAACGTCAGGTGTGGTAAGGTACGGTACTGTCCTTGGTGCCCGCCCTGCAGCTGCCACCGCCGCCGCCGCTGCCACCGCCACTCACGCCACTCACGCCACTCACGCACCCTCACTGCTTGCATGGCCTGGGCTGGCCCTGCTGACCACTGCGCTCGCCCAACCTGCCCTCGGCCAAGGCAGCATCGACTGAAGAATCGAGTAAGTAACATCAGCAATGCAGTCCCGCTTTTCCCCCTCGCACTCTTTACATTTCATTCTTTCACTTTGCTCTCTCCACTTGTAACCTCCACTCTGACTGACCTTCCCTGTGGGATTGCAACTCTCTGGTCGCTGTGCAGAAAATGTTAAGGCGTCATTGGGAAGGCGCATGGCCTGGGCTGGCTTTCGCCCAACCTGAGTGGCGCTGCGGCAGCAGGGGGAGTGTGGCGGCTGACCACTGCCCTCGCCCAACCTGCCCTCGGCCAAGGCAGCATTGAATGAAGAAGCATCCACTGAAGAATCAAGTAAGTAACAGGAGCAATGCAGTCCCGTTTTTCCCCCTCGCACTCTTTACATTTCGCTCTGTCACTTTGCTCTCTCCACTTGTAACCTCCACTCTGACTGACCTTCCCTGTGGGATTGCAACTCCTTGGTCGCTGTGCAGAAAATGTTAAGGCGTCACTGGGAAGGCGTGTCTGCAGCGACAGGAGCAGGAGGAGAGCCGTGGATGAGTGGTGCTGTGGCAGCGGGGGATGTGGCACCAGCGGGAGAGTGACGGCAAGCAGCGGGAGAGTGACGGTTAGCAGAGAGCCACGCCATGCTTGGGCCACCTGGTGAGTTGCCCTTCGCCAAGCTTGGCTCGTCCTTGTCTCGTCTCTGCAGTGTTTATCTTCTGCTTCTTCCTTATATTCTGCTCTTCTTCCTTATATTCTGCTCTTCTTCCTTATATTCTGCTCTTCTTCCTTATCTTCTGCTCTTCTTCCTTATCTTCTGCTCTTCTTCCTTATCTTCTGCTCTTCTTCCTTATCTTCTGCTCTTCTTCCTTTTCTACCCCCGCCCTCTTTTCTCTCGGCAGCGAGCATAGGCATCTGGGGGGAGGGGGGAGGAGGCAAGGTGGCAAGGAGGCAAGGAGGCAAGGACGCAAGGAGGCAAGGAGGCAAGGTGGCAAGGAGGCAAGGTGGCAGGGAGGCAGGGAGGCAGGGAGGCTGGGAGGCAGGGAGGCTGGGGGAGGCAGCAAGGTTCCATACTTGCTGGAAATATGGGCATCTCGCCTGCTGCTGGGTGACTGTCGAGTGGCAAGGAGGAGGCAAGGAGGAGGCAAGGAGGAGGCAAGGAGCAAGGAGGAGGCAAGGAGGAGGCAAGGAGGAGGCAAGGAGGAGGCAAGGAGGAGGCAAGGAGCAAGGAGGAGGCAGAGAGGAGGCTGCTGCACCTGGGGACGGCAGAGAGGAGGCTGCTGCACCTGTGGACGGCAGAGAGGAGGCTGCTGCACCTGTGGACGGAAGAGAGGAGGCCGCTGCACCTGTGGACGGCAGAGAGGAGGCCGCTGCACCTGTGGACGGCAGAGAGGAGGCCGCTGCACCTGTGGACGGCAGAGAGGAGGCTGCTGCACCTGTGGACGGCAGAGAGGAGGCTGCTGCACCTGTGGACGGCAGAGAGGAGGCTGCTGCACCTGTGGACGGCAGAGAGGAGGCTGCTGCACCTGTGGACGGCAGAGAGGAGGCTGCTGCACCTGTGGACGGCAGAAAGGAGGCTGCTGCACCTGTGGACGGCAGAGAGGAGGCTGCTGCACCGTTCACAGGGAGCGGAGGAGGGGTGAAGAGGAGGCGAGCAGAGGAGGCGAGCAGAGGAGGCGAGCAGAGGAGGCGAGCAGAGGAGGCCAGTAGAGGAGGCGAGCACAGGAGCTGAAGCAGAGGCGAGCAGCAGCAGGGGAGAAGAGGAGGTGAGCTCACACCTCTCTGTTCCCGGCTCTCCTCACAGATGGTGAGATGAAACGAACTCAAACTCAATCGAATCAAATTCTTTCTCTCCTTGGCTTGTTGGCAGAAGGGGCAGCAGAAGCAGAGGTAGAAGCTGAAGCAGAAAGGGGTTAGCTGAAGCAGACGGAAGTTAGCTGAAGCAGAGGGAGCAGAAGGAAGATAAAAAAGGGCGGGTGAAAAACAGAGTGTGGGAAACCTGGGCGCCCAGGTTCCCCACCTAGCGATATGTTCCCACAGCGAAAGGAATATACCTTATCACGGTTATTCCTTTCCAGGCATTATCACGGCAATATGTTCCCCGCCCGGGTTTCCTACTCAGAGGGTGGGAAACCTGGGTGTCCATCAATGGGATTTTCGAGGAATATAGCCATCGTCACGGCTATACTCATTTCTAGCCATTTGTATGGCAATGTTTCCTGCTATTATTACGGCAATGTTTCCTTCTAGCCATTATTACGGCAATGTTTCCTTCCAGCCATTATTTTGGCAACCACATGTCCTTGCCAGTGCTTGGGAGGATTAATCCTCCAGGCAGTGCCTTGGAAACTACCTGGGAGCCACCTGTTGTTACCTCCATAGGGTAGGGAGGCTGAATCTCCCAACTCAATGGTTCGGACGCTTGTTTTGGGAACCACGGTTTGCCCTTGTTTTGGGCGCATACCACATTCCCTATCCCATGTTTCGTGGCCTGTTGTCTGCCCCTTTGGGAACTGCCCTCTATTGGGAACTGCCCTCTTTTGGGAACTGCCCTCTTTTGGGAACTGCCCTCTTTTAGGAACTGCCCTCTTTTGGGAACTGCCCTCTTTTGGGAACTGCCCTCTTTAGGGAACTACACTCTTTAGGGAACTGCCCTCTTTTGGGAACTGCCCTCTTTTGGGAACTACACTCTTTAGGGAACTGCCCTCTTTAGGGAACTGCCCTCTTTTGGGAACTACCCTCTTTTGAGAACTGCCCACTTTAAGGAACTGCCCTCTGTTGGGAACTACCCTCTTTAGGGAACTGCCCTTTTTTGGGAACTACTCTCTTTAGGGAACTGCCCTCTTTTGGGAACTGCCCTCTTTAGGGAACTGCCCTCTTTTGGGAACTACCCTCTTTTGAGAACTGCCCACTTTAAGGAACTGCCCTCTTTTGGGAACTACCCTCTTTAGGGAACTGCCCTCTTTTGGGAACTACCCTCTTTAGGGAACTGCCCTCTTTTGGGAACTGCCCTCTTTAGGGAACTACCCTCTTTAGGGAACTGGCCTCTTTTGGGAACTACCCTCTTTTGAGAACTGCCCACTTTAAGGAACTGCCCTTTTTTGGGAACTACCCTCTTTAGGGAACTGCCCTCTTTTGGGAACTACTCTCTTTAGGGAACTGCCCTCTTTAGGGAACTGCCCTCTTTAGGGAACTGCCCTCTTTTGGGAACTGCCCTGTTTTGGGAACTACCCTCTTTGCCCTCCCTCTCTTCCCTTGTGGGAACTACCTTCTGTTTCTCCCCTTTGGTTACTGCCTTCTATATCACGGCTATCTTCCTTTCCAGCCATAATCACGTCTATATTCCTTTCCAGCCATAATCACGGCTATATTCCTTTCCAGCCATTATCACGGCTATATTACTTTCTAGCCATTATTATGACAATGTTTCCTTATAGCCATTATTACGGCAATGTTTCCTTCCAGCCATTATTATGGCAACTACATGTCCTTACCATTGCTTGGGAGAATATAGCTCCCAGGCACTGCTTCGGAAACAACCTGGAGCCCTTCAGCCCTTTTGGGAACTTCCTGTTTTTGCAGTCCCTTTGGGAACTGCCCTCTCTTTCTTCCCCTTTTGGGAACTACCCTCCTTCTCTTACCCTTTGACAGCTACCTCTTTCTGAGCCCCTTTGGGAACAACCTGTTTTTTGCGCTTGGCAACCATACCTGTCACTTCCATAGGGCGGGAAAATGAATCTCCCGCCAATTGGTTGAGACAACTCTGGTTTGACAGCGCCTCTTTTGGGAACCAATGTTGCTTCCCCTTGTTCTTTCTGCCCCTCTGAAAGCTACCTCTCTGTTGTGCTTGGCAACCATACCTGTCACTTCCAGCCATTGGTTGAGACAATTCTGGTTGGCAGCGCCTCTTTTGGGAACCAGGGTTCCTTTGCCCCGCTTGGGCGTTTGTTTCCCCCTGGCGACAGTCCCCCACCTCACAGTGGTGCCAGGGTGTAACGCTGGTGGCAGCACCAACTGCCCCAGCGGCCAAGAGGGGTCCAACCTAGCTACGTCTCTGATTCTTTCTTCTCCTTTTGGCTCGGTTTGGCTTCTGCTGCTTGGTTCGCTGGGGGCAGCACCAACTGCCCCAGCGGCCAAGAGGGGTCCAACCTAGCTACGTCTCTGATTCTTTCTTCTCCTTTTGGCTCGGTTTGGCTTCTGCTGCTTGGTTCGCTGGGGGCAGCACCAACTGCCCCAGCGGCCAAGAGGGGTCCAACCTAGCTACGTCTCTGATTCTTTCTTCTCCTTTTGGCTCGGTTTGGCTTCTGCTGCTTGGTTCGCTGGGGGCAGCACCAACTGCCCCAGCGGCCAAGAGGGGTCCAACCTAGCTACGTCTCTGATTCTTTCTTCTCCTTTTGGCTCGGTTTGGCTTCTGCTGCTTGGTTCGCTGGGGGCAGCACCAACTGCCCCAGCGGCCAAGAGGGGTCCAACCTAGCTACGTCTCTGATTCTTTCTTCTCCTTTTTGCTCGGTTTGGCTTCTGCTGCTTGGTTCGCTGGGGGCAGCACCAACTGCCCCAGCAGCCAAGAGGGGTCCAACCTAGCTACGTCTCTGATTCTTTCTTCTCCTTTTGGCTCGGTTTGGCTTCTGCTGCTTGGTTCGCTGGTGGCAGCACCAACTGCCCCAGCGGCCAGGAGGGGTCAAACCAGTCGTACCTTGTTGGCTACTATCTTGCCTGTTTCGCCCATGTTGGAAACTCCTTGTTTTCTCGCCCCTGTTGGGCGCGCCCCAGTTTTGGGAACTACCCTGTTGTTTTTGCTTGGCAACCATATGTCACCTCCATAGGGTAGGGAGGCTGAATGTCCCAACTCAATGGTTAGGACAATTCTGGTTGCCAGCACCTCCTCCTTGTTTCTCGCCCCTGTTTTGGGCGCTCCCATGTTTTGGGAACAACCTTGTCTTTTCTCACACTCCTTGTTTTCTCGCCCCGCTGGTTCTGGGCGCTTGTTTTCGCTGGCAATGGCGACGGTCCCCCACCTTATAGTGGCGACGGGAGGAGACTGCAGCGCCCCTCTCGCATGGTACGCCACTCTCTTTTTTCTTCTTTTTATTGCCGCTCGCTTGTTTTCTCGCCCCGCTGGTTCTGGGCGCTTGTTTGCCCCGCTGGTTCTGGGCGCTTGTTTGCCCCGCTGGTTCTGGGAGCTTGTTTGCCCCGCTGGTTCTGGGCGCTTGTTTGCCCCGCTGGTTCTGGGTGCTTGTTTGCCCCGCTGGTTCTGGGCGCTTGTTTGCCCCGCTGGTTCTGGGCGCTTGTTTGCCCCGCTGGTTCTGGGCGCGATGGCGACGGTCCCCCACCTAACAGCAACGGCAGGAGTGCCTTCAAGAGGCGACTGCTGTGCCCTTCACGCATGGTATGCCGCTCTCGTGCTTTTCTTTTTATTGCTGACCGTGTGCTTGTTCTTGCCTTAGTGTGGCAGCCAGGAGGAGACTGCAGCGCCCTTCACGGATGGTACGCTGCTCTCGTGCTTTACATGTATTTGTCGTGCTTCTTTCACTTGATCCTTTTTTTTCCTATTTGTCTCTCTAACCCCCCCCCCCCCCCCTTCCATTCCCTTCAAGTCGACTCGTGGGGCGAGGAGGGCGAGGGGGCAGCGCGCGGGGGGCAACAAGAGGCGTCCCTATGCATAATCCCCCCCTTCCATTCCCTTCAGCATGGCGGGCAGCGCGGAAACGACACGGCGGGCAGCACGGACGGAGGTGAGGTGCTGCTTCATCGCTGCAGCGAGGTAACCTTCTTCCCTTGTCCGTTTCCGCATTGCTTTCTTTCAGTTTTTCGCATTACATGTATTTGTCGTGCTTGTTTCACTTGATCCTTTTTTTCCTGTTTGTCTCTCTACCCCCCCACCCCCTTCCATTCCCTTCAAGTCGACTCGTGGGGCGAGGACGGCGAGGGGGCAGCGCGCGCGGGGCAGCAAGAGGCGTCCCTATGCATAATCCCCCCCTTCCATTCCCTTCAGCATGGCGGGTAGCGCGGAGATGTCACGGCGGGCGGCACGGACGGAGGTGAGGTGCTGCTTCATCGCTGCAGCGAGGTAACCTTCTTCCCTTGTCCGTTTCCGCATTGCTTTCTTTCAGTTTTTCGCATTACATGTATTTGTCGTGCTTGTTTCACTTGATCCTTTTTTTCCTGTTTGTCTCTCTACCCCCCCCCCCCCCCCTTCCATTCCCTTCAAGTCGACTCGTGGGGCGAGGAGGGCGAGGGGGCAGCGCGCGGGGGGCAGCAAGAGGCGTCCCTATGCATAATCCCCCCCTTCCATTCCCTTCAGCATGGCGGGCAGCGCGGAGACGACACGGCGGCCGGCACGGACGGAGGTGAGGTGCTGCTTCATCGCTGCAGCGAGGTAACCTTCTTCCCTTGTCCGTTTTGTCTTGCTTTCTCAGATTTGTCTTGCTTTCTCAGATTTGTCTTGCTTTCTTTCTGTTTTTTGCATTGCATGTATTCGTTGTGCCTGTTTCACTTGATCGTTTGTTGTGTTTGTCTTGTGGTGTGTGTCGCTCTGCAGCTGGCAGGGTCCAAGACCGAAGACCGCCTCCGACTGCGGCATAGGTGTTGTGCGGCAGGGGTTGCTGACGGCGTTGGGACGGACGCCTCCCGCGCCTGAAGCGCCCCTGTGTGTGAGTTGAGTGTTCTGACGAGGGATGGGGGGACGCTCCCTGAACTCTGATGGCCTCCTCACCCCGCCTTCGCCTGGCCAGGTGTTACGCCACCTGGTCTGAGTTGGGCTGTGGGACGCTGCAGCCCGGCTCGTGTCGTTTAGGGGCTGCAGACCCACACGAAGGGTCCCCACCTCAACGCGGTGTGTGGGTGTAACACTAGGGGTTAACCCCCCTAGTGGCCAAGAGGGGCCCAGAAGACCCAAGACCCTGGCGCCCTCTATTATTACCTGATTGGTTTTAGATAAATATCATTGCCTAAATAGTGATAGACCTGGTTACCGTAAGCTCCCGGATATAAGACCCCCCGGAATACAAGACCCCTGGGTCTGTAATACGGGGGTGGGTCTTTTATTTTGGCAGGTTTTCGCTATACCCCCCTCTAGAGGGGTAAACATTACAAGACCCCCCCTAAACTTGTGCACTAGTGTTTTTAAAGGCATTTTGATGCATTTTCATGTGTTTTTTTAGAATGATAAGGGTGTGAACACAGATTCAGGCCTACTAATCCCACACTGGCTTGACTGTTCATGAAAACAGTAGCAATATGGGGGGAAAAAACAGCCAGATTTCAATGTTATGGGCACAGCCAGATTTCAATTAGGAGGTCACAACCAGATTTCATTGTGATGTACCTACATCGCGAATACTCACATCCGCGGACCTATCGAGGATAAAAACAAAATAGCAAGCATCCAGATCAATGGGGCATTTGAATACACATTTAAAATACACGTCCATATCATAAGACCCGGGTAGTATACAATCTTTACCCTTTAACAAGACCCCCCCCATTTTTTTTATGAATTTTACATAAGACCCTAGGGTCTTATATCCGGGAGCTTACGGTAGGTTATAAATCAGACAAGTACCACGTCTCAGCATGGACAATTGAAAATGGGTAGCCTAACATGCAACCGGGAAGCATATGGTGCAGCAAAGCAGCCTTGTAACTACTAAACTGTGCTCAGGTTTACTCACATGTGCTGGAGACGCAGCTAATTATTCAACGCTACTGACTGCTTTCTGCCCTAGGCCACTACCCCTAGCAGACTAATACCGTAACTGCTGTATGACTGCAACGAGCTTGTGCGAACTCTACTACAGCAAGAGCTAGAGCAAGAGCAAGAGCACGAGCAAGAGCAACATAACTCAGAGTTCCGTGCAAGCAGACACGATCAGTCAGTGAGGGCATCGGCACGCAACGAGTAGAGCAGCAGGCGGCCGTCTTCGAGCCCCACGAGAATGGCGTCCTCACTGGTGACGGCAATGGAGCAGGCGGCCACGCCCACCCCCTCGTACACAGTCACCGTCGCCAGTGTGAAGAAGGACCGTACTGTCACCCGCCCCGCTGCTCCTGCTGTCACCAGGAACTCACCACACGCACTCGCTGCCATGCACGTCACACTGTCGACCTCTGCTGCTGCTGCTGCTGTGGCTGCTGCTGCTGCCTGGGATGGGGATGCTGGCGTTGGTGGTGCAGATGCTGTTGGTGATCGGATTAGCTGGCTGCCAGTGGAGTCAGAGCCAGGAAGAGATACAGGCACAGGCATGCCACTGCTTTCACCACCGCTACTCGCAGCTGCTTTATTCTCTTCGCTGCTGGAACCACCCCCTCCAGCACCTTCGTTGTGAATCTCCGCACCACCACCAGCAGCAACACCAGGAGAAGAGGCAGTGGTGGCGGCAGTGGTGGTGGCGGTGGGTCCGGTGGGAACGGCAGCGAGCCACTTGCTGTTGATGGACGCCACACGCAGCCAGCCGTCCGCATCCGAGTGCACCGCCACCAGCGCCAGCTGGCTCACGGCCATTCGCTGCACGACGTGGCGCAGCGGGTGGCGGATGCAGCGGATGAAGCGGCCCGAGGAGAGCGAGTGCAGCAGCAGTGAGCCGTCCAGTGAGGCTGAGAGCACGAGGTCAAGTGGGGAGGACGCGAGCACCTGAGTGACCACGTCGTCATGCCCACAGAGGAGGAGGTGTGGCTTGCAGGGCAGCACGGGGTCGGCGGAGGGGCGTGGCTGTGTGCGGTCCACGTGCCACACCATCACTGTCGTGTCGTGACTGCCCGTTGCCATCCACAGGCCATCCTCCGATGCTGCGGGTGGAGTGGGAGAAAGGAGGGAGTAGGGTAGGGGCATTGTGACGAGTGAGTGTGGGGTGGGGCAGGACGAGCAGATATGGAGGAGTGGGATAATGGCAGCAGGGCATTGATAACTGGCACAGCTGACCGGCAGCGGACAGACAGATTGCACAACAAGTGGGTGGTGACTAATCGGAGAGGCAGGTGACTAACCGGAGAGGCAGGTGACGACGTCGGTGTGCTGCCTGACGGCCTGCAGGGTGTGGCCGTCACTGACAGCCACGAGGCGTGTGGAGCAGTCCCAGTGTGCGGCGCAGAGCAGGAAGGGCGAGGTGGCCCCGCGCAGCAGCGCGAAACAGTGCGGACTCACGTCCCCACTCGTGGACGCAAAGGGCGCCCCGATTCGCCGAGAGATGAGCGGCTCACTCAACGAGAAGGGCGCGTCCTGAGGGGTGCAGGGGGAGGAGGGGAGGTGGGAGAGGGGGGGAGAGAGGTTGTGGGGACAAAATGATGATTCATGGGGAGGAGACAATGGGCAGAAGGGGAGACAGGTCAGCAGGAAAATCTAGGTGGCAAGGGCAGGTTGCATGTAAGCACATCGAACGGGATGCACAAGTGCAGTTCGACAAGCAGACAGACCATGAATCTACGTGTTTTTATGCATTCGCATGCATGTATGTGCATGTGTGTGTGTATGCATGTGTGAGTGCCATGAGTGCCTGCTCTCACCGCAGCCAACACTTGGTATCCGGAGCTGTAAGGAGTGTTCCACAGCCGTGCTGCCATGCACTGCCCCCTCGTTACAGTCACCACCCGCCCCTGCGCCACGCCCACAAACACCACCCCCACCTCCCACTGCTGCCGCAGCACCTCCCCCACACTCCCCCCCATGCCCCCACTGCCACCCACAGCACCCCCAGCAGGGGGGCACGCCGGCACCACAGCAGAAAGTCCAAGCGCCGCCGGCCGGTGCAGCAGTGGGCGGGCGGCGCGGGGCGGCGGGCCGCGGGGCTCGTGTGGGCGGCGGAAGAGCTGGGCGGGCGTCTGGCCAAAGGCGGCGATCTGCTCCTCATTTGCCGCCCGGTCCATGGGGTCGTCTAGAGCATCCATGTCCACAGCGCCCTCGTATGTGAGGTAGAAGAAAACGTTGTCTGCCTCCATTGCTGCCAGCCCCCGCTGCTGGTAGCCGAAGATGAGGTCGATCCAACGGTGGAGGTTTGCGCTCACCCACTCGCTCTCGAGGGCCTCCCGGTTGAGCCGCACGAAGAGCTCTGGACTGCCCTGCTTGTGGGATGGGGGGGGGCATGGGGTGGTGTGGCATTAGGAAGACAAGGAAGAGTAGGGAGAAAATGCTGATAGCTATTTAGCCATCAGCCACCAGCGATCAGCGATCAGCGATCAGCGAATCAGCGAATCAGCGATCAGCGATCAGCGAATCAGCGATCAGATCAGCGATCAGATCAGCGATCAGATCAGCGAGCGTATCAGCGCATCAGTGCATCAGCGATCAGCGTTCAGCGTATCAGCGTATCAGCGCATCAGCGTATCAGCGTATCAGCGATCAGATCAGCGTATCAGCGCATCAGCGCATCAGCGTATCGGCGTATCAGCATATCAGCACATCAGCGCATCAGTGCATCAGCGTATCAGCGATCAGCGATTAGATCAGCGTATCAGCGTATCAGCGATCAGCGATCAGATGAGCGTATCAGCGTATCAGCCATCAGCGTATCAGCGTATCAGCGTATCAGCGTAACAGCGTAACAGCGAATCAGCGCATCAGCGCATCAGCGCTTCAGCGTATCAGCGCATCAGCGTATCAGCGTATCAGCGAATCAGCGCATCAGCGTATCAGCGTATCAGCGTATCAGCGCATCAGCATATCAGCGTATCAGCGTATCAGCGTATCAGCGTATCAGCGTATCAGCATATCAGCGATCAGATCAGCGATCAGATCAGCGTATCAGCGCATCAGCGTATCAGCGTATCAGCGCATCAGCGCATCAGCGCATCAGCGTATCAGCGTATCAGCGATCAGCGATCAACGATCAGATCAGCCTAACAGCGTATCAGCGATCAGCGTATAAGCGTATCAGCGTATCAGCGTAACAGCGTAACAGCGAATCAGCGCATCAGCGCATCAGCGCTTCAGCGTATCAGCGCATCAGCGTATCAGCGTATCAGCGCATCAGCGCATCAGCGTATCAGCGTATCAGCGATCAGCGATCAACGATCAGATCAGCCTAACAGCGTATCAGCGATCAGCGTATCAGCGCATCAGCGTATCAGCGTATCAGCGTATCAGCGCATCAGCGCATCAGCGCATCAGCGATCAGCGATCAGCGCTTCAGCGTATCAGCGCATCAGCGATCAGATCAGCGTATCAGCGCATCAGCGTATCAGCGTATCAGCGCATCAGCGTATCAGCGTATCAGCGATCAGCGCATCAGCGTATCAGCGTATCAGCGCATCAGCGCATCAGCGCATCAGCGTATCAGCGTATCAGCGATCAGCGATCAACGATCAGATCAGCCTAACAGCGTATCAGCGATCAGCGTATCAGCGCATCAGCGTATCAGCGTATCAGCGTATCAGCGCATCAGCGCATCAGCGCATCAGCGCATCAGCGCATCAGCGCATCAGCGAATCAGCGAATCAGCGAATCAGCAAATCAACGAATCAGCGAATCAGCGAATCAGCGAATCAGCGAATCAGCGATCAGCGATCAGCGAATCAGCGATCAGATCAGCGATCAGATCAGCGAGCGTATCAGCGCATCAGTGCATCAGTGCATCAGCGCATCAGCGATCAGCGATCAGCGTATCAGCGTATCAGCGCATCAGCGTATCAGCGTATCAGCGATCAGAGCAGCGTATCAGCGCATCAGCGCATCAGCGCATCAGCGTATCAGCGATCAGCGATCAGATGAGCGTATCAGCGTATCAGCGATGAGCGTATCAGCGCATCAGCGATCAGCGATCAACGATCAGATCAGCCTAACAGCGTATCAGCGATCAGCGTATAAGCGTATCAGCGTATCAGCGTAACAGCGTAACAGCGAATCAGCGCATCAGCGCATCAGCGCTTCAGCGTATCAGCGCATCAGCGTATCAGCGTATCAGTGCATCAGCGCATCAGCGTATCAGCGTATCAGCGCATCAGCATATCAGTGTATCAGCGTATCAGCGTATCAGCGATCAGCGTATCAGCATATCAGCGATCAGATCAGCGATCAGATCAGCGTATCAGCGCATCAGCGTATCAGCGTATCAGCGCATCAGCGCATCAACGCATCAGCGTATCAGCGTATCAGCGATCAGCGATCAACGATCAGATCAGCCTAACAGCGTATCAGCGATCAGCGTATCAGCGCATCAGCGTATCAGCGTATCAGCGTATCAGCGCATCAGCGCATCAGCGCATCAGATCAGCGTATCAGCGCATCAGCGTATCAGCGTATCAGCGCATCAGCGTATCAGCGTATCAGCGATCAGCGCATCAGCGTATCAGCGTATCAGCGCATCAGCGCATCAGCGCATCAGCGCATCAGCGTATCAACGTATCAGCGATCAGCGATCAACGATCAGATCAGCCTAACAGCGTATCAGCGATCAGCGTATCAGCGTATCAGCGTATCAGCGCATCAGCGCATCAGCGCATCAGCGATCAGCGATCAGCGCTTCAGCGTATCAGCGCATCAGCGATCAGATCAGCGTATCAGCGTATCAGCGTATCAGCGTATTAGCGTATCAGCGTATCAGCGTATCAGCGCATCAGCGCATCAGCGCATCAGCGCATCAGCGCATCAGCGATCAGCGATCAGCGCTTCAGCGTATCAGCGCATCAGCGATCAGATCAGCGTATCAGCGCATCAGCGTATCAGCGTATTAGCGTATCAGCGTATCAGCGTATCAGCGATCAGCGCATCAGCGTATCAGCGATCAGATCAGCGATCAGATCAGCGCATCAGCGCATCAGCGTATCAGCGTATCAGCGTATCAGCGCATCAGCGCATCAGCGATCAGCGATCAGCGTATCAGCGTATCAGCGCATCAGATCAGCGTATCAGCGCATCAGCGTATTAGCGTATCAGCGTATCAGCGAATCACCACATCAGCGTATCAGCGATCAGATCAGCGATCAGATCAGCGCATCAGCGCATCAGCGTATCAGCGTATCAGCGTATCAGCGCATCAGCGCATCAGCGATCAGCGATCAGCGTATCGGCGCATCAGCGCATCAGCGCATCAGCGTATCAGCGATCAGCGATCAGATCAGCGTATCAGCGTATCAGCGATCAGCGTATTAGCGTATCAGCGTAACAGCGTAACAGCGTCACAGCGTATCAGCGTATCAGCGCATCAGCGATCAGATCAGCGATCAGCGATCAGATCAGCGTATCAGTGCATCAGCGTATCAGCGTATCAGCGTATCAGCGTATCAGCGCATCAGCGCATCAGCGTATCAGCGTATCAGCGTATCAGCGCATCAGCTTATCAGCGTATCAGCGTATCAGCGTATCAGCGATCAGCGATCAGCGATCAGATCAGCGTATCAGTGCATCAGCGTATCAGCGTATCAGCGTATCAGCGCATCAGCGCATCAGCGCATCAGCGCATCAGCGCATCAGCGTATCAGCGTATCAGCGCATCAGCGCATCAGCGTATCAGCGTATCAGCGTATCAGCGCATCAGCGTATCAGCGTATCAGCGTATCAGCGATCAGCATATCAGCGATCAGATCAGCGTATCAGCGTATCAGCGTATCAGCGTATCAGCGTATCAGCGCATCAGCGCATCAGCGAATCAGCGATCAGCGATCAGCGATCAGCGCATCAGCGTATCAGAGATCAGATCAGCAATCAGCGTATCAGCGTATCAGCGTATCAGCGCATCAACGTATCAGCGTATCAGCGTAACAGCGTAACAGCGCATCAGCGCATCAGCGCATCAGCGCATCAGCGCATCAGCGTATCAGCGTATCAGCGCATCAGCGCATCAGCGTATCAGCGCATCAGCGCATCAGCGTATCAGCGCATCAGCGCATCAGCGCATCAGCGCATCAGCGCATCAGCGCATCAGCGCATCAGCGCATCAGCGCATCAGCGTATCAGCGCATCAGCGCATCAGCGAATCAGCGATCAGCGATCAGCGATCAGCGATCAACGTATCAGCGATCAGCGATCAACGATCAGATCAGCCTAACAGCGTATCAGCGATCAGCGTATCAGCGCATCAGCGTATCAGCGTATCAGCGTATCAGCGCATCAGCGCATCAGCGCATCAGCGCATCAGCGCATCAGCGAATCAGCGAATCAGCGAATCAGCAAATCAACGAATCAGCGAATCAGCGAATCAGCGAATCAGCGAATCAGCGATCAGCGAATCAGCGATCAGATCAGCGATCAGATCAGCGAGCGTATCAGCGCATCAGTGCATCAGTGCATCAGCGCATCAGCGATCAGCGATCAGCGTATCAGCGTATCAGCGCATCAGCGTATCAGCGTATCAGCGATCAGAGCAGCGTATCAGCGCATCAGCGCATCAGCGCATCAGCGTATCAGCGATCAGCGATCAGATGAGCGTATCAGCGTATCAGCGATGAGCGTATCAGCGCATCAGCGATCAGCGATCAACGATCAGATCAGCCTAACAGCGTATCAGCGATCAGCGTATAAGCGTATCAGCGTATCAGCGTAACAGCGTAACAGCGAATCAGCGCATCAGCGCATCAGCGCTTCAGCGTATCAGCGCATCAGTGTATCAGCGTATCAGCGCATCAGCGCATCAGCGTATCAGCGTATCAGCGCATCAGCATATCAGCGTATCAGCGTATCAGCGTATCAGCGATCAGCGTATCAGCATATCAGCGATCAGATCAGCGATCAGATCAGCGTATCAGCGCATCAGCGTATCAGCGTATCAGCGCATCAGCGCATCAGCGCATCAGCGTATCAGCGTATCAGCGATCAGCGATCAACGATCAGATCAGCCTAACAGCGTATCAGCGATCAGCGTATCAGCGCATCAGCGTATCAGCGTATCAGCGTATCAGCGCATCAGCGCATCAGCGCATCAGATCAGCGTATCAGCGCATCAGCGTATCAGCGTATCAGCGCATCAGCGTATCAGCGTATCAGCGATCAGCGCATCAGCGTATCA